AAAACTATGACTCGACGATCGAAACATTTCTTTAAAGTTTCAAACTTTTAAACTTCGATGAACGCGTCTGAACCATATCAAAATATTTCGGAATGACGCCAAACTTTGTGTGCAAGTCACAAATAATGATAAGAACCTATTCCAAGGATCGAAACCTCAAACTAACATCAATAACACCAATATTCACTTCAAATCAAACTTAAGAAATTATTAAACTTTCAAAAAGTTAGCTTTCCATAATAAGCGCCGAAATGCTGCCGGGCCACCCGATACTCAACCCGAATACACGTTCAAGTACGAAATCATCATACGAACCTATTGGAACCTTTAAATTCTAATTTCGAGGTCGTTTACTCAAAAGTCAAACCTTAGTTAATTCTTCTAACTTAAAGCTTCCGAAATTAGAATTTTGTTTCCAAATCAGCTCCGAGCTTCCCGAAATTTGATTCTGACCCCACGTACAAGTCATAATACCTTAAGTGAATCTACTTAAGGCCTCAAACCACCGGACGACATGCTAGAGCTTAAAAATGACCGGTCGGGTCGTTACATATTTTATGTACTTGAGTATAAATCTGACGGTCAGTAAAACCATCTATGTTCCATTCATAGATTTATGTGCCATTATAACTCTTGTAAAAATGACTAGCATCGGGCTCCTCTATGAGTACATCTTGAGGATTTGGCCTAGGATAATAGAACATCCTTTGGACCAGTTTTCGAGCAAACTTTTCTGAGATTTTATTTATCTCATCATAGCCTTTTAGGCTCCTATATTCATCAGATAGATGATCTACATTTAAAGGACTAAGTTTAAATCTTTCAAATTTTATATCTAATAAATTCTCCAGGTCCTCGAGACTTTTTAATTTAAAGTCTTTGACCTCAGGAGGAGGTTGGATACTTGCGGTAGCAATTTTTACTTTACCTTTTGTAGTATCCTTCCTAGATATTTTCTGGACTTCTGTTATTAATCTCTTCAGTCTTTTATTAATGGAAATAATTTATTCACCCATAATACTAATATATATATTAGTATAATTATTCTGTGTGAGCATAGTATTCAAATTCATAGCAGTAATTTTTCTAGTATCATTTTCAAATATTTTTGAAAAGGCAGTATAATAAATTACTTTATCCTTTTCTCCCATTTGAAAAGAGGTTTAGGAAGAAAAAATGGATCTAGTAATTTTAGCACTAGTGAGTTTATAATCTCTCTCTAGCATGGAAATATAACCATAAACATATTTAGACATAAACCATGGAACAAAAGCAATCATTTTATTGTGACCACTAACATCATTATAAAAATCATCTTGGAAGAAATTTATTAATTTCTCATCGAAATTGTCAAAAAAACAATTTCTAAAAAGTTTCCATCTGGGTTTTTTTTAAATTCTTCAGACAAAAAAAAATTCACTCTCTAGAATTTTTTCTCTCAAAGAGTTGCCTGCTACAGTGCTTGCTACAATACCGTGAACAGTAGCATAATGCTACTGTTCATCACGGAAAACTGGCAATTTAAGCTTCAATAGCAATGCTACAGAGTCGTGAACAGTAACATCGACACTGTTCATCACACAAATTTGGCATGAATAATTTCTAAGAAATCCTGAACAAATATGAGGCGATTTTCACCACTGCAGCTGCCATGGCCAATTTAGACGGCGGCCAGCCACCTTTGTCGGCTGGTCAGCCTTCTACCTCCATCGTCCCAACAAATACGACCACCAACAACAATTCCCAGTCGTTAGATTACTGGAAAATTCTCAAACCAGCAACTTTGAACACTGCCATGCATGAACGAGCATATACTGTCGAACCAATTCCATTGCGTCGAGCCAATCTTCTTAATGGATAACCTATCATTAAGTTTACTGAAGCGGAGGTCGAGCGAATGAATGTTATTGAAGGTTTGCAATATGCAGTAGTTTGCAAATTTTCATACGGATTGCCTGAGCTTAATGAACTACGTCGAATTATTCCCATTCAATGTGGAATTAAAGGCAAGTGTAACATTGGATACCTTCGCGACAGGCATGTTTCAATAAGATTGACATTATGGCATGACTTCATTAATTTTACGTCAAAAAGTGTTTATTATGTCAAGGACAAGGCGGGATATGAATATCAACTGAGAACTTTGATTTATGATCACAAATTCAAGGTTGGAGAAGAAACACCAAAGGTAATGGCATGGATTTCTTTTCCAAACTTGTTGCCAATTTTTTTTTGTCAAAGAGTGTTTATTCTCACTGGCCTCAGCAGTTGGAAAACCACTTCACCTCGACATGGCAACAGTTAATAAAACTAGGTCAAGTTGTACGCGTGTGAAGGTGTTAGTTGATCTTTTAGCTGACCTACCTAAGAAGGTGCGTATGGATATTGAGAATGAATTAACGGGAGAAGTGAGAACTGAATGGGTGAATATTAAGTCTTATTTTTTGCCCAAGTATTGTAAGGAGTGCAAATTGCAGGGACATGATATGATGGAATGCTGGAGGCTTCATCCAGAATTAATGGAGAATAAATCTACTGAGCAACAGGCTAGTAATGAGGCTGGGAAACAAGTTGAGCAGGCTACTCTTTCAGCAAATTTGAATCAACAGGGAGCTTTAATGATTTTGTCAAGTAGAAAGGTTGTAGGTAATGTTGCTGGTAAGGGTAAGGAACAATGGAAAGAGGTCAGGTATAATCGTGCTAAGAAGGTTATTAATCAAAATTTAGTACAAGCAACTACTGGAAAAGAAATAGTTCCAGTTAATCAAGGAGAAAGGCAGCAGGTGCAAGTAGGAAACAAAATTGCACTATTGGAAGTTGAGGAAGTTGCGAATGATGTTGTTAATGTGGTGCAAAAATAGACTCAAGCCAGTGATAATATTGGTGTGGCTCAAAAGACCGTGCAAGATAAACATTTAGAAATCATTGATGAAGTGCATGAAGTTATTCAGCTTGATAAGGCTTCTCTTATTAATGGAGGAAATCAAGTAAATAAGGGTGTAACCTCTAGTCCAAACAGGAGAAGGAATGAAGAAGTTAGAAATATTGAATCAACGGCTGAATTGGTACAGAGTACATTTGCAGGTAATGTAGTAGGTACTAACACATCATGTCAAGATATCCTATCCCAAGATACTAGAGTAGAAGGAGAATTGGCAAAAATTTCAGAAAAAGTTAATGTTGCTGCTGCTGTGACAAGGAATGATGATTTTGAGAGCAATGAGAGAATTCAGTGGTCTGGAGGAAAGCTTTGGGCTAATCAAATTGAATAAGATCCAGATGAAGGGGTAATTCCGGATGGAATACAAGCTGAGAGGGATTCTGATATTGAAATAGAAGAACAAGAGCAAAGTGTAAATGGAGATGCAATTACTACCAAGAACAATGAGGAGGAGAACTTAAACAATGATGATGGTGCACAAAATATTAATGAAAATACCAAGGAAAGACTTAGTAGATGCAGGGGATCCTAATGTACCTACTGTTAATCCTAAAGATACTGATGTGAATATGGGTGATCCAGGTGGAACTGGGAAGACTATTTCAGTTCATGAGGATGCTAGGGAGAGTGCAGCTTCAGGGAAGAAACAGTTGGCTAATGTGCAAACAAAAGCTGGGATTAGGAGTATTGCTCCATTGAAAAATACTCTGGTAAAGCAACAAAAGAAACCTGGGGATCAAGCTTTGATTCCTAAACAAAAAAAGTCCAATAACCAGGCAGCAGTAGCTGTTGTTGATCATGGTGTAGAGGAGTATATAGAAAGAACAGGCAATGATTTTGATGAAGAATCAATAGTCCAGAATTTTCGTAATGCTGCCATACAAGGAGATCCTTCTCTAAGACACATGGAGAAGGATAAATCGGCAACTAAAGGAAGGAATAAGATACCAAAGGACATCCCTAGTCTTCCATCAACTGGGGTTCAAATTAGAATAACACTGACTAAATCCAACAATTAATAATGGATGCAATTATATGGAATGTAAGATCAGTGAAGACGATGCAAGCATTTGAGAGGCTCGTCACAATGCATAGGAGGCACCACTTTGAATTTATATGAATTCTAGAACCAATGCAACAAGATAGAAAAATGAAAAGATACAGAAGGAGGATTGGTTTGGCTACAGCAGTGGTGAATGTTTCCAATAAAATATGGGCTTTCATCGATGAAGTCTATGAGGTTACAATTGTGTATAATATGGTACATCAGTTAACATTGAGGTTATTTCACATAGAAACACATGTGGAACTCATCCCCATATTAGTATATGCAAAATATGATGCGATTGAAATAATAGAACTGTGGGACTCTTTGTATGCTATGGCTCGAGATATGGCTATTCCATGGCTTGTGGGGGGAGATTTTAATGTCATATGAGATGAAGAAGAAAAGTTTGGAGGCCTACTAGTTTCATTAAATGAAGTCGATGATTTTAGGCATTGCATCAATACGTGTAACTTAACAGATCTTGGCTTTAAAGGAAGCATCTTTACATGGTGGAATGCCAGGGCAGAAGAGGATTGTATTTTCAAGAGGCTCGATCGATGTCTTGCTAATATGGAATTGCAACAGATGTTCCGATGATTGGAAGTCACTCACTTATCTAAGATAGGTTCAGATCATTGTCCTATGCTTTTGAAGTGTGATATTGATGATGCTCCAATTAAGAAACCTTTTAGGTTTCTCAACTTCTAGGTAAAACATTAGACTTTTAAGTCTGTGGTGAAATCTAATTGGCATGCAGACTTCATGGCAGATCCATTCATTTTATTCAACCATAAATTAAAGAAACTGAAGAAAGCATTGTCTATTAGGAGTAAAGCAACCTATGGGGATATATTTCAAAGGATTGCAAGCTTGGAGGAGGTTGTTCTGGTTCATTAAAGGCAATTTGACGCAAGGCCAACTCAACAGAATAGGGAAAGGTTGCAATTGGTGTAGGCACAACTCATTAGATATCTTGCAATTGAGGAAGAATTTTGGAAGCAAAAATATGAGATGGCATGGTTCAAAGAGGGTGATAGGAACACTAAGTTCTTTCATGCTCAAGTGAATGGTCGAAGAAAAAGATTGCAGCTTAAGAGGATACAAAACAACATGGGCAACTGGATAGATGAGGAAGATCAAATACCAGAAGAAGTTGTCAACTTTTTTAAGGATCAATTCTGTGAAATTGAGGTTCCTACTGAATTTTGCATCATTGACCATGTGCCTTGGTTGATAGATGAAGAGCAGAATGCAAAGTTAATCAGTATGCCTACAAGAGAAGAAATTAAACATGTTGTTTTAGGCCTTAATGGGGAATCTGCAGGTGGTCCAGATAGTTTTATAGGTGCATTTTACCATTCATGCTGGGACATCATTGGAGAGGATATCTTTCGTATGGTTACTGCATTCTTCTATGGCGGGCAGCTTCCAAAATGTGTTACACATACCAATCTGGTACTCTTACCAAAGAAAAAGGAAATAGTAAGCTTTTCTGATATGAGGCGTATAAGTTTAAGTAACTTCGCCAACAAGATATTCTCAAGAGTGATTCACAACAGGTTGGTAGAGTTACTTCCTAACTTGATCTCTGAAGAACAAGCAGGGTTTGTGAAAGGGAGAAGTATTATCAAAAATGTGTTATTAACTCAAGAAATAATCACAGATATCAGGCTAAGTGCAAGAGCTGGACCAAATGTAGTGATTAAGCTTGACATGATGAAAGCATATGATACACTATCATGGTTATTCTTGACTAAGATGTTGAGGAAACTGGGATTTTGTCAAAGATTCATTGGATTGATTTATGATATTGTGGGTAATAACTGGTATTATGTGCTCTTAAATGGACTACCTCATGGATTTTTCAAGTCTTCAAGGGGGGTAAAACAAGGAGATCCTCTTTCACCCACGCTGTTTATTTTAGCTGCAGAGGCACTGCCGAGGGGTTTGATTGCCTTGCATTTGAATCTATATTTTTGTGGATTTGGTCTGCCAAAGTGGAGTCCAAAAATTAATCATTTAGCATAAGCATACGACACAATCATTTTCTCTTCTCCTGATGCTACATCCCTGCAGTTGGTGATGGAGGTCCTGTGTGCATATGAAGTTGCATCTGGGCAGAAGGTAAACAAAGGCAAATCAATTGTGTATATGCACCATTCTACTAATTTGGAAGTGGTTAGGAAGGTCGAGAGGATCACTGGCATTATGAGGCAAGAATTCCCTTTTACATACCTTGGATGTCCAATATTTTATTCAAGAAAAAAAATAGATTATTATCAAGGACTAATCACTAAGGTTCTTGATAAGTTAAAGTCATGGAAAGGCAAACTACTCTCGATAGGTGGCAGTGCAGTTTTGATCGCGCATGTACTTCAGAGTATGCCAATACACCTATTGTCTGTTGTGAGCCCCCCAAGTTATGTAATAAAATAACTTCATAAGTTATTTGCTCAATTCTTTTGGAGTAGCTCTATTGGAGGCAACAGTAGGCATTGGTCATCATGGAACACTCTTTGTATGCCATGTGAGGAAGGTGGAATAGGCTTTAGATCGTTGCATGATGTAACTAAAGCACTTTTCTGCAAGTTGTGGTGGAATTTTCGAACAAAACCAAGCCTTTGGAGTTTATTTATGAGCCAGAAGTATTGCAAAAAACTCATTGCAATAATTGTTCCATGGAGGAAAGGATCACATGTTTGGAGGAAGATGTTAGAATGTAGAGACATCATAGAGCACCAGAATAAGTGGCATCCAAAAATGGGATCCTCCCTCTTTTGGTTTGATAATTGGACAGGATTGGGTGCTTTGTACTTTTTTGTTCCATCTGAGTTTGGGATAGACGAATCCATTCATAATGTCTATGATGTTCTGGAAGACGGTGATTGGAATATAAATAGGTTGATGGAGATTTTACCTGAAGAGTATGCACTTCGTATTGTGGAGAAAATTATACCTCCAGTTCTGGAGGATGTCATTGATGTACCTTATTGGATGCTAGAAGCTCGTGGCCATTTTTCTGTCAAATCGGCTTGGGAATATATTCGAAGGAGGGATGAACCTAGAGTAGCTTACAAAATGATTTGGGTAAAAGGATTGCCATTTAAAATAGCATTCTTTATGTGGAAGGTGTGGAAAGCTAAGCTACCTCTTGATGATTATTTGCGAAGGCTAGGATATATCATGCCATCAAAGTGCTGGTGCTGTGCACAACCTAAAGAAGAATCACTGGTACATATGTTCTTCACATCTATTGTTGCTACTACAGTGTGGAAATATTTTCTATCGAGGGGTGGTATGGCTTTAAGTGGACTGTCCATGCATCAAGCTATTACCAAGTGCTGGACTTCGCAAGTAATCCCTCAACTTAAACCAATCATGCAAGCTTTTCCTTCTTGCATTGTATGGAAACTGTGGAAGAGAAGGAATAGTTTAAAATATGGAGATTCAGTATCAATAAGCAGTGTGATATATCAGGTTTCCACTGCTTTGCAATGCCTTGTTCAAACTAGAAAACCTGGTTTAAAGGTTCCTCACAAGTGGCATGACCTCTTATCTATGATGGAAAACTACACTCCAAGGCTGAAGTATCAAAAAGTGATATGGGAACAACAAATAGAGGGTTGGCTTAAGGTAAATACTGATGGTGCATCGAAAGGAAATCCTGGGAGAAGTGCAATTGGGTTCTGTGTGAGAGATGAAGAAGGGGAGATCATATATGCAGTGGGTAGGGAGATAGCTGAAGGCACAAACACATAAGCAGAAACAATAGCAATTGTGGAGTCACTGAAGTACTGTAGGTGGCAGAACTATACTTATATATGGCTGGAGACAGACTCATTATTATTGAAGAACATAATTAAAGGTGTATGGAAGCCACCATGGTGCATAGCTGATCAAGTTGAGGAAATTTCATGCCAGCTCTTTCTTGCCTGAAACCTAGTGACGCACAATCATCCCTACATGATTAACCATGCGACGTGAGGTCCTTCTCGATAAGAACCTGGCGATGCACAGACTTTGGCAATATCGTTGTGCTTCAAAATGCTGGGCAACATATATTTTATGGTTTCTTTGGCTATATATTTGGAACACTTTGGACACACAATGGACTAAAATCGGGATGCGACAAGATAGTAGGACATTTCAAGAAGGAATTCATGTATTGAAATCAAGCCATAATCAAATGAGCTCATGCTAATATGGTGGCAAAAACAATGCATTTGCAATTTGTTTGGGCAGTGCAATTTTCTTCAAACTTATGAGAGACCTTAAAGGATATTTAGGCGTGATCAAATAGAATGGTACATTGAGGATCATTGATAATCTAGTGCAACATTAAGGATTATGGAATGTTATCATTTTTGCGCAAATGCAACATGGTTACGAGTGCAATCAAGTTGGCTATGCGTGCAACAAATGGAGCTGGACAGTGGCTACTTATGTGCGAGTCTATATTTATAAGAGGCGGAATTCTCAACTGGACTATAAATGTAATGGAAATCAAGTGCTAGTTTTAATTTATATAAGCTACATTAGAACTCATGTGCTATCATTGTTGAGCAGTCTACTCAACTTTAATAATAGGCTCTATGTAGTTTGCAAGTTTTATGTCTTTCATTTCTTAGGATTTCATGACAATTTNTTCAGAAATTATTTTTCTTGTTGACGAACCCGGACAAAAATCTATTTGGTTTCTATCCATTTAAACCATTGGAAAAATCCATTTCGAATTCAGTCGGATCATGAATAGCACAAAGCAATATTATCTATGCTAATTTTTATAACATCTATTTTATTATTTTCTCTAATTTGTGATGTAGATGCTCTTAATGAAAAATCTACAGTACAATCAACAGTTGAAATATTAGAAGAATTTGATCTAGTTAATCTAGATGAATAACTAATATTATCAGTTTGTTCGAGTTCATTAAACCTGATCTTAATAGTTCCATCCGAAGTTTGTTCAACTTATGTGACTTCACTGTTAATGTCATTTCGAGGAGCTATTACTTCCCCAATGACCCATTCTTTGGGAAAATTTATTTCATCCCATTTAATAAGTCTTCTCGTAGTAACTTTAGATCTACCAAAATTAGTTTCGATAAGAATAGTTTCATTTTTGAAATCCATAATTTTGCACATAGGATTTAAAGTATATAAAGGCTTATAATAAATCATGTAACAGATACATATAGCTTCTGTTCCTGGCATATAATCACAACCATGAAGCTTAATACTTAATATTAAAGCATTTAAATAGTTTTCATCACTCAGAGAAATCTGCAAGTTAGGATAAGCATTAAAATACATGGGACCAAACTGGTTTGTACTGTCCCTATAAGGGATTTTTTCACTTTTGGTTTCTGCCATCTCTGAGAGCTGCTACGAAACTTTCAGGTAAGCCTCTTAATGTAAGTGGCTTGAAGGCAACTTGTATTAAAACCAATATGCAAAAATCTATGAGTTTCCCTATAAGGGGCTAAATCATTTTCAGATAATAATCTGAAAGTAGCATGATCACTATCTACTATGATAGTCTCTTCGGTAGTTTTAACTACTTGTTTTAAACCTAATTTCTCAAAGTTACCTAATTGGTATATAACCTTAAGTTGGATTCTAGGAATCATCCATTTATTTTGAAGATCTAATTATTGAGGCATATCATACTCTTATTTCCTACTGTTTTTAACTATAGTCTGTTTCCTAATGATATTTATTAAAACAAATGTGTTGAACTTTGCACATATTTCTACTCTTTCACATGTCTCTGATACCATTAATTTACAGTACATGACCATTTAGACCTTGAAGGTCTTTGAGTTATAAAATCAAAATTAATTTCTTTATTATCAAAGGTTCCTGTAAAACCTTGGGCATCCCATCTAGTAAAAGGAATTATATGATAAAAGAATGGAACTCCTAATATAATATCATAGGATATATCCTTTACCAAAACAAATATTTCAGGTATACAAACCTTATCTTGGCAAATAAAAGCTTTTGGCAATTTATAAGAAATACTCATTCTATCATCACTAGGAAGAGATTATTAATCTCATTTTTCAAATCTTGAACCGTAGTTGGCCTATTAATGGCCTCAGATTTTTCTCTTAAAATCCTTTTAACATCAGACATCGTATATGGTCCCTTTTGAGAAGGAATTTCTTCAATCTCTGGACTTGTAGAAATTTTATCCTGTAGTTCCATTGTAGTGATCCTATAAATTAATGGTATCAGAGCCATGTGAAAGTTATAGGTACTAAGTTCAACATAATTTTCTCTAATGAATATCATTAGGAAGCAAACTACTGTTAAAAACAGTAAAAAAGAAGAGTATGATATGCCTCAACAATTAGATCTTCTTAATAAATGGGCAATTCCTAGAATCCAACCTAAGGTTATATACCAATTAGGTACCTTTGAGAAATTATGTTTAAAACAAGTAGTTAAAACAACTGAAGAGACTATCACAGTAGATAGTGATCATGCTACTTTCAAATTATTATCTGAAAATGATTTAGCCCCTTATAGGGAAACTCATAGATTTTTGCATATTGGTTTAATACAAGTTGCCTTCAAGCCACTTACGTTAAGAGGCTTACCTGAAAGCTTCATAGCAGCTCTCAGAGATGGCAGAAACCAAAGGTGGGAAAAATCCCTTATATGGATAGTACAAACCAGTTTGGCCTATGGCTTGGTATATTTTAATGCATATCCGAACTAGAAGATTTCTTTGAGTGATGAAAAATCTTTAAATGCTTTAATATTAAGTATTAAGTATCATGGTTAAGATTATATGCCAGGAACAGAAGTTATATGTGTCTGTTACAGGATTTATAATATTATATACTAGGGCCTTAGCCCAGATTCTGACCGCGTGTACTAGTCTTGCTCAGGTGGTCTCTGTTCCGGCCACAGCAGCCACTTCTCAGGCCAGGGGAGGCGCTCAGACTCCCGCCGCCCGCACACCATAGCAGGTGGTACAGGGATTCCAGACACCGGGGGCACCACCAGCCCAGCCTGTTGCTGCTTCTCAAGATTATGTGGTTCCTGCTATGCCTGAGGATGGGCAGCGTAGGTTGGAGAGGTTTGGGAGGCTCCAACCTCCATCTTTCAGTGGTGCAGAGGGAGAGGATGCACAGGGTTTCATGGATAAGTGTCAGAGGATACTCCGTACGGCATGTATTTTGGAGACTAGTGGGGTCTCGTTCACTACTTTTCAGTTCCATGAGGCTGCCTTCAGTTTGTGGGAGGCTTATGAGAGGCGTAGGCTGGTCCACACCGCACCCGTTACCTGGCAGGAGTTCTCCGTTCTCTTTCTGGAGAAGTTCGTGCCTCAGTCTCGCTGAGAGGAGCTGCGCAGACAGTTTGAGCAGCTTCGTCAGGGTGATATGTCTGTGACGCAGTATGAGATGAGATTTTCATAGTTAGCCCATCATGCTATCTGGTTGGTTCCCACAGACGGGGAGAGGATCAGGAGGTTCATAGATGGCCTCACTTTTCAGCTGCGATTTCTTATGACTAGAGAGAAGGTGTCTGGTTCTACTTTTGATGAGGTTGTCGATATTGCCCATCAGATTGAGATGGTTCGCAGCCAGGAGCGGGTCGAGAGGGAGGCCAAGAGGACTCGTGGCCAGGGTGGCTTCAGCGGTGTTCCTTCTAGGGGCAGTTCCACCACAGTAGGGGTTGTCCTTTCAGACATGCTCAGACGGCTCGCCCAGTTCACTGTGGTGCATCATCTGGCCATGATTCACACAGCTATCAGCAGGGTCAGTCTTCATTCAGTGCACTACCAGTGCAGAGTTCTCACCCTACCTCGTTAGCTCAGGTGTCTACGGGTAGTTCTTCGGGGCATCATGAGCAACAGTTCCGTCAGAGGAGGGGTTGTTTCGAGTGCAGAGATTTTGGATACATTAAGAGAGATTGCCCTAGGTTGTTGAGTGGGGCTCCATAGCAGAGTACTCGGACGATGGTACCAGTACCAGCAGCCCCACCACCCGTCTAGCCAGCTTGAGGTGGGACTCAGTCAGCTAGGGGTCGCCCTAGAGGGGGAGAATGATCAAGGGGTGGCCAGGCCCATTTCTATGCTCTTCCTGCCATACCAGATGCCATTGCTTCAGATGTTGTGATTACAGGTATTGTCTCAGTTTGCCACAAAGATGCCTCTGTATTATGTGACCCTAGTTCCTCTTATTCATATGAGTCTTCTTATTTTGCTCATTATCTGGGCGTTACTGTCATTGTGGACCGTGTATATCGGTCATGTATGGTGACTATTGGGAGGCTGGAGACTAGAGTAGATCTCTAATTGTTTAGTATGGTCAATTTAGATGTTATCTTGGGTATGGTGAGTTATCATATGTTTTGTTATATGGCTTTGAGCCAAGTGGGAGAGTCTGCTATCTATGATTTGATTGTATGATTTTGTATGTATTAGTTTTTGGGTTAAGGCATACTTGTTGGTTGGTTATGAATTGCAGAGGTTGATATCGAGGATGATTTGAGTAGGAAAATTTCTTGAATGCGGGTTATATTGCACTTTATGATAAATTGTTATTTGAAGGATGTAGTGCGTACGGAGTGTTAATTTAATCGGTGGTGTTAAGGCAGCATTACCCCTTCGAGCGTTGATGTACTAATCAGGCACGTGTCTTTCAGCCTGTTTGGGCGGTGCAATTTAGAATATGAGATTATATTTAATGGTGCGGGATTTGCAGTAATCCTGTTTGATTATGGATTCAATATTTTAGTATAAG